GAATCCAATCTCTCACCACCAATAACATCCTGCGAATCACCCGGAGGTGGGTCATCCACATGATCCCCAGCGGGCCCACTCATCACGAAGCAAGGTGATCAATCTTCCTCCGTTCAGTCTTGACGCACAGTCCGAGGGGACAAGCAGCAGTCGACTGGTTCGCTATAGCGTGTTGGTAAACTCGTGGCTTCTGGGAAAAAAGTTTGTATTGATGAGACCTTGGACCAGGAGAGCAGGTCAAAAGGTGGAGTGGGCAAGGGTGGGGCTAGCGCCACAGCACCGCAGCACCGCAGCTACCACCCGTGTCGCTCGACCAACGCACAATAGCCGAACATTATAATATCGGAACACAAAGACTCAACAGGGGCTAACGTACTTCACAACGTACCATGAATCCTCTGACTGATGCACTATCCACAAGAAACACACTCGGGGTAATGCACCATCCACGAAGAACATTCCCACAGAACGTTCCTTGCTGTTCTGATAATATGTGGCTACTCAACGATCTTCAACGCAGGCAGTCCCGCAATTCAAACTGTCCAATCAAGTTGTTCTACGTCACACTGTCGACACACACAGCAGCAACTATCACGAACACAGCGTGCAACCTTGTGGGACCCCCTGCTCAATGTCGAAGAATTTAGACAGTTCTCCGTCTAACATGACCGCGCTTTTCGTACACTCTGTCATCTTCTTCAGCACTCTCCACATTTTCCCCTTGATCCCGTATTGGGACAGTTGTTTCCACAACCCATTTCTCCATACGGTGTCGTATGCCTTTTTCACGTCCAGGAAGAAGCAGTACGTCGGCGTTCCCGCCCTCTTTCTACCTTGGATGATTTTCCCTACCGTGAAAACGTGGTCTACGCACCCCCTCTTCTTTCGGAAACCTGCCTGGCCCTCACTAATGCTATGTTCCTTCTCCAATACTCCCACTATCCTATCGTTCAGCAGCTTACAGAACACTTTTCCTACTGTGTTCAACAGTGTGATCCCCCTGTAGTTTCCTGGGTCAGTCTTGTCTCCTTCACAACCACTTCTTCCCTCCATCTACTTGGCTTATCCTCGTTTTTCCACACCCAATTGTATAGCAGTACCATCAGCTGGATCATCCCCTTCCCCCCAAACGTCATGAACCCGTCGACTATCCCATCCGCTCCTGCTGCTTTGTGGCACTTTAGCTTGTTATTACACGCCTCAACCTCGTCCTCAGTGAACTCCTTTTCTAGTTCTACGTTCCCAACGTCTGCCTTCGATGTCTCTTCTTCTTTTTGGGCCCATGCGTCCACCTCCTTCTTAAACACTTGGTCAAAAGCTTC